TTTGTATATGTTCTTCAGGCTGCAGGGATTAAAAAAAAAGGTCTCAAATTTTCAACCCTCTTGTTCTGCTACCAGCCTTGAAGCCCAGGAGACTTGGCAAATTCATCTCAAGCAAGTTAAATTAGCCGTGCTATGATGTCTTGCACATTAGTTTGAAGTCAGGACTGAGATAGGGTGAGGAGTATGGGAGGGGAGTGAATAATAATGTTGTCATTATTAGTTGGTTCTAAAGAAATCTTTATGACGTTCACATCGAAAATAGTTAATAATGCTTAGATTGATTGCAAAACACATAATATTTTACAGCATGTATTATATATACTACTTAGTCATTAAGCTGGCCAAATTCACTTAAAAAACATAACACTTTCAGGACTGCATCTTTGACATGTAAAACAATTAGTAATCATGATCTTTTAAACACACTCTGAAATATTTCAGTACCCCATTATTGCAGGACCAAGGTGCTCAAAGAATCAAAATAAGTAGTGATGAACAAGAGTAAGGTTACTTCTCTTCCACCAGTTATGGACTCACAGAAATAAGGTGTTTGAATGTTTTTCCTGGAGAATAAAAATTATTTTTAATAAAGTGCTGTTACCCAAGTTAGTAATACCCAAGCAAGTTTTATGGCTCTGTAAGGAAAGAATTAGTCCACTCATTTGGGAATTTAGTGGTGTTTGGAATGCAGAAAGTGACAATAAGGCTAGAAATGGATTGGCTTTGGGGCTTGTTCTGCTTTATAAATAATAATGAACCTTTTCCACCATGAAGTAATGTGAAATGAAAAAAATATATATCTATCCCTAGAGTTTAAAATTACCTCATAACCCAATTTGCATTTTTCCACTCCAAGCATATTTTCTTCCAGTTCTACTTAGAGAGTGAATGTGCCCCTATGATAATTAATTTTAACAAGCACTCAGTAAACTGAGCTGGACAATATACAAGTTGTCCTAGACCAAGTATGAATTTGTACTGTACTTCTTATGATTTTTTCCACCACAACATTATTTAGACATTTAAAATTATCTAGACTACAATTTTCCTTTGTTCTGTTATTTTTTTTTAATTTGCACTTTTTTTCTTTTAATTCTACTTAAATACATTAGCAGTTTGCAAAAACTGTTTAGAAATATGGGAAATAATTGGATCTTGAGGTAGCAAAACTAGAAGCACTTTAGGTCTTAGCTATTCATCAAAGGGACCATTTGTTTTTCTTTTATTTTCTACCTGTGTTGAGAAAAAAAAATGTGCAAATATCCTGACTAAAAATGTATATAGTTCATTAGTGGAAAAAGTGCTTTAGAATTCAATCCTATGCCATTCCCATGTAGTATCTTCAATCTTTTCTTAAACAACTATTTGGTAAAAGCAAGTGATAGACTTGAAGTGTGATCAGCAATGGTGGGGCACTATTTCTCTTTTGCACCCCTGAACATGAATTATGAACAAGCAAATGAGTCATTTCCAAGTAGGAAAATAAATTTTGAGAGAATACTATGATTTGATAGTAATAATTTACCTTTCCTCTAGCCATCTAGTTTATTATTCTATACCAAATTATTTATGCATGTCTATATTTATAATTTATGTGAAAAACTGAAAAATATTAATTATAGCAAAATAGACATTCTGTAATTTCTCAGGCAAGCTTCTAAAATATGAATATCTTTCTACATATTTTGAGATGAAAAACAATGACAATCCATCCCTTCTCACATTTTTGAAGATTTACTGCCTGTGACTCAGTTGTTTTCTCTCATAAAGAGTACTAACTAACCTTCCTAAAAACAACAAATCAAATTCCATTACTTACATAAAAGCAATACTTTTTTATCTTTCACAATAAATTTTTAAAATCATGATTAATGCCATGGGTACAGTAGCTGGTTAAAATAATATGTCTGAATTTCTTATCCTTTTTGTTTGGCAGTATATGAAATGTCCTCTATTTAGAAATCCTGATTCTTCAGTGACCTATTGTTTTTGTCACCTGAATATACAATAAGGTTCACATTAAGCTTTTCTTTCTAATTATCATTTGATTATATGCCATATTTGGAAATTACTAAAATTCTGCAAAGTCAGATCAAAGGAATTTTCTTAATTTGTTGGGACTTTCTCAAGTTAAATTGCATGCAACATTTATTGAGAATCTAACATAAGCAAGGCACTATTTACAGGCAAGGGACAGACAAAAGTGAGTTAGACAATGTTCCTGCCTGCAGAAAGCTTTCAACCCAGTGACTAAATAGAACTACACTTATTTTGTGTTGATAAAGCAGAAAGAATTCTCACCTGGTTGCTAGTGCACAGAGGTGTTAGTTACAGATCTGCCCCAAAAGGTATGACCTATTACAGATGAATCTCTTCATCTGTAAACTAGGAATTGGGAATAGATTTGTTCAACAAACACCAACTAAACCATTACAATGTAATAATAGTGGCTAACTTTAATGTGCAATTACTACTGGATAGGTATAAAGGTCAAGATTTTACTTGGATCATCTCATTTAATCCTCAAAGCAATCCCGTTATCAAGAGGAAGAAATTGAGGTTCAAACATATTAAGTAATTCACCCAAGGTTACAAAGTGGTTGAACCAAGTTTCAAGCCTAAGTTGGCTTGACACCAAAGTTGATTCCTTTATTCCGTACATTGTGTGCTGCAACGATCTCTAATAGCCTCTAACTACAATATTATATGAACATTATTTGCCCCTCAAAATGTACAATGTAAATACAAAGAATCTGGTTATTACATTAATAGTGGAGGTTAAGGGGACACAATAGAATGACACACTAACTACAACTAGGGAAATCCAGGAAGCCTTCCTGGAGGAGGTAGCCCATGGCCCATGGTTGCAGTTAATGAGATTCTCTCACAGAGAACTAGAGGGATAAATCCATTTCACATTGAGAGAACTATGTGTGTGGTCACAGAGCAGTGGACGTTGGTAGATTTACAAGGAACAAAGAGAAAGGTCAATAAGAATATAATCTTGAAAAGTCAACTGGAGCGAGATTATGGAGATTATTTCAAATTATGCTAAGGATCCAGGACACTATAGAAGTGGGCAGCTACTGAAAATTCTCACAAAGGATATGAAAGTAAAATGTCTTTGGGGCTTATTACCTTGCTTTGTTTTTTTTTCAAATTATTTACAACCAATAAGAACATTTAGCAGTGTTGACAAGTACAAGATGAACAAAAGCAGAGTGACAAAACACTAACAACAAATAATTTTAAATGTCATTTTTAAAAGAAACTATTTTCAATAGCAGCACAATTAAAATACAACTTGAGACAATCTCAAAAAGATATGAATTATCTTTCTGAAAAAAATTGTAAAACCTAATTAAAGAATATATCAAGTTGCAAGTTGAGACAGTACCATGCTCATAAATGGAACTTCAATAAAAAGCTCATAGAGATTATTTATGGAAGATGACAGGTTAGTCAGTCCTTCCATTCACAGGAAAGAAAAAGGACCAAACTTGAAGAAAAGGGCAAATGTCAAAACATGTGAAAACAAAGTGACATGAGTTGTGGCTTTATATTTCCTCATTGGGTTAAAAGAAATAGCATGGGGAAGGAAGATATGAGGTTCCACCATGATGACAAAAGAGAGACGAGCTCCTCCACAGCTCCTCACCTACTTTAAATCAAAGCAACCTGAGTTCTTAAACAAAGACAAAAGTCATTTTCAGAAGAAGCACTTGTGCCACAAGAGCCTTACCTAAGGATAATAAGCCTAAGCAGTTGAAGCATCAGTCATCCAGAATTTATCAATCATCTGATATATGCTAAAAACAATGACTGTGGACAATAAAACCATAAGCAACGCTGACCTGATTCTCAAATAGCTTGTGATAAAGTTGAGAGGCAAAAGTAACACATGAAATGATGAAGAACTTACTTCAAAAGCAGATACGAGTAGGTACAACAAAATGCAACCTCAAAAAGCACCGAGAGTGGTAAATGGAGGGCCAGCCTAGGGCAGATGAGCTCAGGGAGACATTCTGACGCAGGTTTGGAATGTGTATAGTGAGGGGGCTCATCGTTGAAATGCTTCAGCTCATCTGGTCTGCATTGCTTCTGGCAGGTAGAAGAACATTACCAAACCAACCCATGCACGTCTAATTATGACCAAACTGTCAAGACAGTATTTAAGGTCTGTCTTCCTCTATAAGAAATTAGCTAATGATTTTGGCTAAGATGTAAGGAAACAGTAGGCTTGATTTCCTACTTTTTCCTACTTCTTATTCTCCTGTATTTTTAGGACATTACTAGGAGCTATGCATTTCCTCATTCTGGATTCTTTATTTGGGGCCTTATCACTCATAACTGTAGCTTGTGAGTTGCAGAATACCAACAAGGAAGGAACAAAGATAGTATCTGGTGGAGGATGTGAATCCTCTCATTGAAAAACTTATTGACTTATTATATAATTGTTAGGCCCAGGGAGATCTAAAAGCAAATTTATACTAGATCCTAATGATGTTCTTTTACAGGGATGGTGCCAATACTGTGCATCATTAAAACTATATACAGACTGTGAGCTCAGACATGGATCTACTAGAACTACTCGATCTACTAGAACTTTCTAGACCACTTATACCAGCTCACAGAACTTTATTAAGGAAGTAAGATTCCAATTAAAATATCCTCCAATTGAATGAATGTTGGCTCATTCATATTCTAACCAAAAGCCAATGTACCTTAAAGCCCATATTGATAAGACCAAAATGATAAAGGCAACCACATAATGAGATGTAAAAGAAATTAAACACATTGTGGTTTACATAATAATATTCCTCATCCATGTCAAACATCAGATCTTTCACAGGCCAATCACAGTTAAATCTAATTTATCATCATCTTGGCAAATCAGAGGTAATCCACAAGTCCTCAGATGCAACTCTGAAGCAGCACATAATATATTCCTTAAATACATTAATAAAGAAAGGATAGGGAGGTTTCCAACAATAACTTACATTTGTGATGCAGCAACAAGGGTCTATGGGCTCTGAAACTAAATTTATTAGAATTATAAATATAAATATGGTTTAAAAGGTTTTTAAGTCATTTATTATTACGTGTATTATCCCTATATCATTATAAAACTCAGTATCAGTGCTGTTTCTTATTCTGTTCTAAACTTAGTCTGTTTAATCTCAAATGAGCTCACATTAACCCCATGAAAAATAATCCTGCTTACCATTTCATAGCTGAGGAAATTGAGGCAAGAAAAGATAAGTACTCTCGTAATTGAAAAAGACAGACTTGCCACAGCTCTACTCCCAGAGCCCAAGCTTTTAACCATCTGCTTTACTATCACCTTCCCTAGTTATAAAGCCTTTTTGTATAATCGCACCTTAATTTCATGTGGATAGCTCAAAATTTTCAAATAGGGTCTTGGAAGTATCCTTCTGGTTGGTAATGGAGACTAGGATTCTTCCTTAAAGTCACATTTCAATAACAAAGTCTATTTTCATTTTCAGGGTACAGTTATTTAAGGTGTTTTATTTGGGTTGATTAACAAGTTTTTAACTTTAACAAGTTAAAGTTAACTCTTTAACAAAGAGTTAAAGCTCTTTGTGATAGGGATCACATTACCACATACTTATTATTACATTTTTCTTCTGTTTCCTAAAGAAGGGATATCTGGACATTTTACACCTTCGAGCATGTAAGTACTATGGCCCACAGTACTAAGTCATACTTACTTTTTTCCCCTCCTATTTATTTATTTATTTATTTTGCTCAGATTAACTAACTACTGGTACTACAACTACTATAAACTAATGATACACAATGCCTAAATATTGTCAAGTTAGATGTTGGAGGGGGAGAATTCACAATTACTAGAACATCAGTCAGACAGAGCCATATGCATTGTATACCTTAGTTCTCATAGTCATGCAGAATGTAGGCCTTGGTATTTAATTATTTCTCTCTTAGGAAGCATAATTGTCCTAGGGTTGATATTGCACAAAATCAGAAACCTGTTGGAAACAAGGGAAATTATTTTCACTTTAGGCAAAATTTTGTAGTAGGAAAAACTTTTAGTGCTATATTCCTTTCCCAGGCCCTTAACCTGAGTTCCACTCTTATTCTGAACTGGAGGGGTTATTATTAGTTCCCCAAAGGGCTGTCTGATAAGAGCTGTCAGCAACTCCTTTATGAGTCTGGCATCGTCAGGACTCAGTGGGTTCTAGAATTGCAGTAAACTGGCTTGAATCAGTTAGCTAGGTAGCCTTTGCTAAATAATTTAATCTCTTTATACCCCAGATACATCTCCTCTGTAAAAGAGGGCTGACAAAACCTCTATCACAGATATGAAGGGAGGATTAAGAGTAATTCTTTATGTAGACTGAGGAGCACAGTACCCAACACACCACAGAAACTAGATAAATGGCAGCTCTTCGGTGCTACAGCTAAGGGTTAGTCCTTACAAGGGATCGATTTCTGTGGAGAATATAGGCTTGAGAAAGTCATTTTGTGTGTTTATTCCTCCATTTTTACAGCAGCGACTGATAAAGATGTGCTGTACGACCTACATGCGACCCATCCCTAGTGATTTGCCTGAATAGACACACTTGCAGACCCAAAGGCTGATTAAACTTGAAATTTAAAACACACACACGGCACGTCAAGCAATAATAAAGCAAATGTTCAAGGGTTTAAAAAACTCAACACATGACCATTGTGCAGCTAACAAAATGACCTTTAAAGGTGAAGTAAAGCCTGAGGAAAAAAGCTTGCAAGTAAAGAGGACAAAATTGTGGTGACCACTTGTGTGGGGAAAGAAAATTACCTACTGGGGCTTGGGATGAAGTTACAGCTTACTAAATTGTGTCATAAGAAAAAATAAATCCATTCATTCATCTAATATTTGTTGAGCATCACCACCTACAAGCAAAAACCAAACCCTTCACAACCACACACTCTGCTTTGCTTTCTCGGGCCCCATCAGCCTTCCCCACTCAGGACAGCGGGATCTCGGTTAATACCTGCAGCCAACACTTTCCCCACAGACGTCGCTCAGCAAAGGAGACCACAAGCCTGCCCCGCCCCCTTTCACAGGTGTCGCGGTAAACTGAAGACGCCAAGACGTAACCTACGCAGGCCCAATGAGAAAATGGGAGGTGCACCAAACAGCGACTCCTTCCGCCCACGTGAAAGATGGCGCCCGATGCGTCAACCATCCCTCCTGCCGGTACTTTTCCTTTGGTACCAGGATCTAGAAGGTAGCCTGGAAGCTGTATGTTTTAGTATATCCCACCCTTTCTCCCATAACTTTGCTTTTACAGTATTCGCTGACGGTGAAAGAGGTAAGTTCGGATAAAATTTAAGGAGGAAGGGAAACCAAGGGGGCTTTGGGGGTCTTGACGCGCGCGCGCGGCGGGGCCTGGACGCGCGGGGGCGTGGCTGGGGGCGTGGCCGGGGCGGGGCTGCGGCCGTGGTGCCTGCGCCCGCGGAGGCGGAGGCGCAGGCGGTGACGTGGGCGAGTGGGTGAGTGAGAGGTCGGTGTGCTGGCGGCTGCAGCTGGTGTTCTGGGTCCTGGGACTCGCCAGGGTGGCGGCGCGGGCTCGCTCCAAGGCCCGGTTCGTTCTCTTCACCCCCCGCTCCCCGTCCGAAACCGGGCAGGGATGTCGCCCGGCGACTAGAGGAGTCCCCGGCGTCCGGGCCTCCGGCTTTCGGGCAGCGCGGGCGCCCAGACCTGGGGGTTTGGCCTCTTCCCGGCCCTTTTTCCCCCTGTCCCGGAGCCGTCTCTTTCCTGGGGACCCGGCGTGAGACTTGGGGGGACCCGTGCGACGCGGGCACCGGGGAAATAGCCTCAGGCACCGAGAGGCCTGAAGCGGGGGGAGGCCAGGGGGCGGCGCGCGGCGGGTCCCCACCTGGTGGGGGTCCCGAGGAGGTAGGCGGGGTCGTGTGGCGGTGTTGCCTTTCTCCTCGCTCGCAGAATTTCAGTGGAAGTGTCTGAGAATTGCTGATTCCCTGTTGGACTCTGGTTTGGGGATACGTAACCTGCTTGCTTCACTGCTCCGAGATTTCTAGATTTTTTTAAGGGAAGTGACCACTGTGGCTGTGCATCTCTTGAGTGATACTATCACTTGCAGGAGGAAGTGCACAGATTGCACACCTGCTCTGTCCACACGGTGTCTGGGTGTCTGAGGGCCCCCAAGTTTCTGTGTGCAGGAGATGGAGGGCTGTCCCTTTCACAGCAATGGAGAGTGTGAGACCCCAGAAAAGTAAAGTCTGGTGGTGGCTAGTGGATACATTCGTTTCTAACTGTTCTTATTCTTTACCTAAGATGCATACATGGCAAGGGGATATGCCCGACTCTATTTCAGTTTGTGCAACCACCCCTGGAAAATAGTGTTAGATCCCATCTTTCTCAGACTCTGGAAAACGTTCACCGTAAGGTAACACAGAAACAAGAATATAATAATGAGAAAGAAATAATATGAAGAGGGAATACTTGTAATATGGTGGTGGTATGCGGCACAGATACTGTTGCCAGCATGTCAGCCTAACCCTGCGACTCTAGAAGACCTTATTCAATTGAAATCTGCCTTGTGATGACTGTGCTCTTTATAAACGAATGAAACAAAAATGAGATATTATAAACCAGGTTGCAGACTCTGTACTAAACTGCTTCAGGAAACAGTAACAGAAACTAAATTTTTTTCTTGTAAAATTGTGGAAACCGTCTCGACTAGACTGTTAGCGGTCCAAAATTTTCTTTTAGATAAAGAAGTTAAAAAAAAAAAAAAGACTCTTTCAAGCTTGCCCTTTGGCTCTCTGAAATCAAGAGTGGGAGGTTAGCCTGCTTATGTGAGAAACTTGGATCTGTGAGAGGTAGCCTGATATTGATATCTTTAACTTTATCTCTGAGTCCTGGCTGTTGAAAATTTAGAACTGTTGCAAACAGTCTGATGATGGCAGTTCACTGTCATTAAATTGGCCTGGGCAGCTCCTGTTTTGGAAGGTGGCTGCTGCTTTTAGGGTTGGGAGAAAACAAGTAGCATTGTTCTAAGATTGTGGCTTTATGATGGTAGAATACTGATTTACAACAGCAGTGGACCAACCAACTTTTTTTTTTAAGATTTATTTATTTATTTATACAAGCACTGGATACAATCAGAAGCGGGGGAGGGTGAGAGAATTCACCAGAGCGGGGAACAGAACAGGCAGACTGACTAAATACACTGCTGAGGGGAGCAGTGGGCACTGCAGAGGCTACAGGCAGCTTCCCAACCCAGCGCTCAACTGCTGCGCCACCAGGGAGGCCCCCAACCAACTTTTAAAATACCAACTGGAGAAGAGATAATAGCTTTGTAGCAAAGGTTTAAGAAAAAGCAAAGCTTCAAATCTACCACTGTGTTAACATCTTTAACAGATGACATTTATTATATCTTCTTTTGATAGATTAGTTTCAAAAGTATATTGGGTATATCCTCATGAACCCTGTTCTTTTTTATAGGAGTGCCAAGCCACTGTGCCATCCAATTTGGATCCTGGCTTCTCTCAAAAGAATGATAATGGCTAATTGTTTGATAACATTCTGGTGTAACCAATACTACATGTAAATAAGATGTATAGATAAGACTATTGGTTTTGAACTAGTCACACCTGTGTATATGGATTGTTCTCACCAATGATGATGACTTTGCTAGTATAAGTCTTTTACTACTCTCATAATTATACTTCTCTGTGACATTTCATTTCTCAAGTTATTTCTTTGGGCACCTTTAAAGCTAAACAATTCAACTTGATACCTGTTTTTTGTTTTCTTTCTTAATGGTACTGGTAGTGAGACTCAAATGTAATTAATGGTCTATAATAGCTAAATAAAATCAGGTAAAATGTTGTTTCATAATTCAACCAGATTTTGCTATCATGCTCAGTTCCATTTTGAGAAATGCTTTTGTTTTCAATGTAAGGTGAAATGATTAAGTTACAATATTGCCTTCATCAATACTTACCCTTTTTTCCCAAAGAGAAAGGAAAAATAAAAATGCAATATAATCATGGCTGTATATTTGCTTAATTCATTTCCTTGGTTGCACCTATTTATAAGTAAGGTTATAGTCACAGATACCAGGGGTTAGAATTTGAGCATATTTTGGGAGTAGGCAAGTCACAGTTCAACTCACAACAAGCATCATGGTCTCTGACTGGCCCACCTGCCCCTATTTGCTCTTTAGTTGCTATGGGTTAGGATTTAAATACCTAATCATATTAGAATTGTACCTAGACTGGCTCCTTGGGGACAGTGAGAGTCTGTTCAACGAGTATTAGTATATAGTATGTGAATGTTCAGAGGCTCTCTTTACTTCATTGTTTTGTATTTCTAAATGTTTGCCCTGTACATAGTGACAAATTACTACTATATATTGTAAAATTATATCAGTAAACACTGTGTGCACTTGCCATATTAGTAAAAAGTCTCTCCTGGTAGGGGACATGCTTCCAAATCTTTGATTGAAAAGTAGAAATGGTGTATGCCTAAATCATTTGGATTTTTATAGATGACTTTAAAATTGCTGGGTCTAATCATTGGGGTTTTTTTTAATGTCATTCTTTAGATAACCCTGGAATGTTTGGATAATGTGAGATTTTGGATACAGTGATGTCGGCTCTCTGTCCACCACCATCTCCAGCTGTTGCCAAGACAGAGATTGCTTTAAGTGGTAAATCACCTTTATTAGCAGCTACCTTTGCTTACTGGGACAATATTCTTGGTCCTAGAGTAAGACATATTTGGGCTCCGAAGACAGAACAGGTACTTCTCAGCGATGGAGAAATAACTTTTCTTGCCAACCACACCCTAAATGGAGAAATACTTCGAAATGCAGAGAGTGGAGCTATAGATGTAAAGTTTTTTGTCTTATCTGAAAAAGGAGTAATTATTGTTTCATTAATCTTCGATGGAAACTGGAATGGGGATAGAAGTACATATGGATTATCAATTATACTTCCACAGACAGAACTTAGCTTCTACCTCCCACTCCACAGAGTATGTGTTGATAGACTGACACACATTATCCGGAAAGGAAGAATATGGATGCATAAGGTGAGTGGTTTTTTATTTTGTTGATCATGCCAACCTAGCTGTTGAAAGTTTATCTTCTGATATATCTAGTTTTTAGTAAGTATATGCAATTAATTCAAACAATAGCTATTATTTGCATCTATTCTACTAAATACTGATAGAGCTAATCTATTTTCATAAAAATCCTGGAAGGTAGGAGATGATAGCATAGTACTACATTACCAATAAAAACCTGAAGTTCAGAGAAATTAAGAAATATGTCTTGGGGCCTCCCTGGTGGCCTAGGAGTTAAGTCTCAGGGCTATCACCACTACAGCCTGAGTTCAATCCCCAACCAGGTTGCTAACCCACATATGGCAAACAGACCTCTCTTGTCTCACCTGTTGCTCCCCTTAGTAGTGTATTTCAGTAGATCTACCTTTTCTGCTCCCCAGTCTGTCTCTGGTGAGTCCTGTCACTTCCCCACCTCCCCCCCCCCCCCACACACACCTCTGGCCTACACCAGTCCCTTCTACACATACACACAAAAAATGTTTTGGATTCTTGTCTTGGGAGAATTTGACTCCAAAGCCTTTATTTTTTGCATTGGCTGACATCACCCTACCCTCTTCGCCCCTCCATCTCCTACGCCTTTACCCCTGTCTTTCACTTACTATTGTGGGTAGATATAAGCAAGTCAAAAAACAATTTTTTCATAAGCAGTCCATCATATAACCATTGGTCCCTTTGGTTTAACGCCTTTGCCAAGTTCCCAGACTTGTAAAATGAAGAGATTGGGCCAAATGGTTTCTAAAAGATGCATTCCTTTTTAATTTTGCAGAATGAGTTAGAAGAAATTATTGTTAGCCCCTAAAGCCTACAGTTTAATATATAGTGGCATCCATAATTCTATATACTTTTGGAAATCTGAAGAATAATTTCAAGTCTCCATTCTACCTTGCAATTTGATACTAACATAGAAGTTCTCTGAAGTATTATTAAATCTACAAAGCTGTCACCTGATAGTAAGGAAAAATAATGTCTTATTAAAGAATATT